TGAGGTTAAAAGTGCAGACCTGCTAATGGATTTATTATAATCTTGCACATTGCACGGAATGGCACAGAATATACTGATGGACTCTGACTGTCTGTCATCTAGTGTTAGAGGTGGAAATCAGTGCAAAGACACTCAAAAGATTAACGCCTTAGTGAAATTGGTGTAAGGCATTTGTTGCTGATAACACACATCTAAAGTACATATGTAGGTAGAAGGTGGTCTGCATTAGGCAGGGGAACAAGTCTTGCAATGACACAGGAAGATGACTCCCTCAGTGCCTTCAAGGGGATGTGCTCATTTTTAAATTGCCTTTATAGTAGGGGAGTGTTATTGTTTGCCTTTTATAAACCAGCAGGAAGCCAATGTTCCATAACTTTCAGGAGTGCCATTTAAGGATGAATGGAGGGCATTGTGTGTACATACCATCTTGCAGATCACACCTGCGATATCCCAGCAACACCCATGTGAGCAATCACAACAAATGCAATTTCTTTTTTGCATGGCATTTGTGTGTGCCTCATAACACAATTTTTTTGCAGATGGCTTACAATAAACAAACATAAAAGTAATTTAAATGCAAAATAAGCCAAACACCAAAAGCCACATGCATGCAAATAAGGAACAAAACTCATAGGAACCTAAGAAGTACAAAACAAAAAAATTAAAATGAAAAAGCCCATTCTGCATGAGCGATTCAAAAAGCCTGGTGGAGCATAAATGAACTTGCCTGGCAACCAAGGATAATCTCTGGCCAAAAGTCTGGGGATGTTGTTTCCTACCTATGGTGCTAGTACAGAAAAAAAGTTCATTTCCCACCTATATCACTTCATTTTATGGGGTTGCATGAAATGTGGCTTCAAAAGAAAAGATCAGGTAAGTCTATATGGCCAAGACAGACTTTTGGCAACTTAACACTATGGTGTTTAGGCACTTAAAAGTAAAACACCACAGTTTAACGTGGTTTTTTTTTAAAAAAAATAGTGTACTTTATCTTGAATACAAAAGAGCTACCATGCTATGGTGGATTAAGTGTTGGACTACAACTCTGGAGACCAGGATTTGAATCTCCGCTCAGCCATTGAAACCCACTGGATGAGCTTGGGCAATTGAGATAGTAGATTGCCACAAGGCAGAAACTACTTGAAGGGCCACAGCAACAGATCTTGACTACACTGGAGGCACATATTTTAAAATCAATTTAAAAACAATGTCTCTCACACCTTATTTCAAAATCTTACGTGGTGCCTGTAATCATTTGTTTTTGGGTGGATTGTGGCACACACAGTTCTGCACTATATTCAACTTCCTCTTTCCCCTGTGCCCAGAGGAAGAGAATAGAGTGTTGTTGTTTATTCGTTCAGTCATTTCCAAATCTTCTTGACTTTATAGACCAGTCCACGCCAGAGCTCACTGCTGGCCATGGCCACCCCCAGCTCCTTCAGAATCAAGCCAGTCATTTCAAGGATACCATCCATCCATCTTGCCCTTGGTCGCCCTCTCTTCCTTTTTCCTTCCATTTTCCCAAGCATCATTGTCTTCTCCAATCTTTCCTGTCTTCTCATTATGTAGCCAAAGTACTTCAACTTTGCCTCTAATATCCTTCCCTCCAGTGAGCAGTTGGGCTTTATTTCCTGGAGTATTTATTTATTTATTTCCGTCACTTTTACCCCGCCCTTCTCACCCCCTAGGGGGGACTCAGGGCGGCTTACAGAGAAAGGCACAATTCGATGCCTTGACACATATACATACATATATAAAAACAATTAAGCAATTACAATTTAAAATTAAATCATCAATACACAACAACACCATAAACACAGTAGTAGGCTAATCCTGAGCTCAGCGTTCGGAGTTCCGTAAATCCATTCCGTCTTGTCCAGCTCGTCATCAATCTTTCTTTAGCTGCCAGAATGTCCAAATGCCTGGTCCCACATCCAGGTCTTCAACCTCTTCCTAAATGAAAGAAGGGACGTTGCCGATCTAATCTCCCCGGGGAGTGAGTTCCACAGGTGGGGGGCCACCACCGAGAAGGCCCTGCTCCTCGTCCCCGCCAATCTCACTTGTGATAGAGGCGGGGTCGAGAGCAGGGCCTCCCCAGAGGATCTTAGGTTCCGAGGTGGGACGTAGAGGGAGATCCGTTCGGATAGATACACTGGGCCGGAACCGTTTAGGGTTTTGTAGGTCAAAACCAGCACTTTGAATTGTGCTCGGAATTGGATCGGCAGCCAGTGGAGCTGACACAACAGGGGGGTGGTGTGCTCCCTGTATGTCGCTCCAGTGAGCAATCTGGCTGCCTCTCGCTGGACCAGTTGGAGTTTCCGAGCAGTCTTCAAAGGCAACCCCATGTAGAGTGCGTTGCAGTAATCCAGTCGGGATGTAACAAGAGCGTGGACCACCGTGGCCAAGTCCGACTTCCCAAGGAATGGGCGCAGCTGGTGCACAAGTTTTAATTGTGCAAAAGCTCTCCCAGCCACCGCCGAGACCTGGGGTTCCAGGCTCAACGATGAGTCCAGGATCACTCCCAAGCTGCGAACCTGCATCTTCAGGGGGAGTGTAACCCCGTCTAACACAGGCTGTAACCCTATACCCTGTTCGGCCTTACGACTGACCAGTAGGACCTCTGTCTTGTCTGGATTCAGTTTCAATTTGTTAGCTCTCATCCAGTCCGACACAGCAGCCAAGCACCGGTTCAAGGTCTGGACAGCCTCCTTGGTGACAGGTGGGAAGGAGTGACAGATTTGGACATCATCTGCATAGAGATAACATCTCATTCCGAAACTCCGAATGATCTCCCCCAGCGGCTTCATGTAGATATTAAATAACATCGGGGACAGAATTGAACCCTGTGGGACTCCACACAACAACGGTTGTGGGGCCGAACAGGTGTCACCCAATAACACCTTCTGGGACCGTCCCTCAAGGAAGGATCGGAGCCACCGCAAAGCAGTGCCTCCGAGCCCCATATCCATGAGGCGCCCCAGAAGGATACCGTGATCGACGGTATCGAAGGCCGCTGAGAGGTCCAGCAGAACTAACAGGGACACACTCCCCCTGTCAAGCTCCCTGAGCAGATCATCTACCAAGGCGACCAAGGCTGTCTCAGTTCCATGTCCCGGACTGGTTTGATCTTCTTGCGGTCCAAGGCACTCTCAGAATTTTCCTCCAACACCACCACAGTTCAAAAGTGTCTTCCTTCACTCAGCGAATAGAGTAGAAATCTCAAAGAATATGTATATGACTCAAAGGCTCAGTAATCATGAACTTGGCAGCTAGTCTCAGGTAAAAGGCACATGCAGCCTAATCTTAGCCTTCCACCCTTTCCACCTGTAATATATGGGATAATAATACTTGGATTATGGGATCACTATCTGTATTACAGCTAGGTAATGTGTTTGGGCACTTGGAGCACTTGACTATACAAACTTTAAGTTGCTGTTAGATTGCAATCTTCGGTTCAGTGCAATTCTAATGAGTTCTGATCAACAGAGATTAGGCAACTATAGTTAGTCATTTTTCTTAGTGGAGACTGCTCTTCTGTCTCAGATTTCTGGTTTTGCTTCCTATACCTTCTTGCCTTGATTACTGGGTATGATACATTGGAGCTGTTCTTTATGGGGCAAGAAAATATGAAATGATGGCATAAGTTTGGGAATGCTACAAGGATTATCCGGAGAGTAAGGTTACAATTTTTAAAATACAAAGAATGAATATCTTAATAAAATTAACATGGATTGTAGCATAGGTATTACATTATTTTTACACATAATCACCATTCAGTTCAATACATTTTGTCATTCATGGGGCAGATTTTTGGATGCGTGTGTCATAGAAGTTTCCCTCTGCCTTTCTCAGCCAGTTCATCACTTCGATTTTCACCTCGTCATCGTTGGAAAACTGTTTTCCAGCAAGGTGTTCCTTCAATTTAGTAAACAGATTATTGTCACTGGGTGCTAGATCGGGCCTGTGAGAGGGGTGGCTTAAAACATCCCTACCAAATGAAGTCAGCAACTCTTGTGTTGCATGAGCATTGTCATGAAGGAGACAAACTCCTGGAGTCAGCATACCACAACGTTTGTTTTGGAAAGCTCTGCAAAGTTTCTTCGTGGTCTCACAATATATTCCATTCTCATTTTGTCATGCTATCCTGACATTATATTCGCTCAATAAACTGAAACAATTTCGTTATTAATCGCAGCGGCATTCATACCCTTAGCATTTAGGTAGCATATTACAGCGCGAACTTCACACTTGGAGGGAAACAGAATGAGGACGCTCATCTCTAACCTTCACCACAACACCAGTTGATGAGCTACTGACAACTGGCACTGCTCATTTGCTTCCGCTGGCTTCCCGCTGCATGGCAGTGATACCAACTTCCCCCAAGAAAATTCCCTGTGAGAGCTACGTGCCTTGTAACCTTACTTTCCGGATAACCCTTGCAATAGGAATATATGACAGGCTTAGGTAGGAAGAGCACAGTTATATGTTGCTCCAAAGAGTGTGTGTGTAAAAGATTGAGAATGAATGTATAGGATTTTTCTGTAAAGGATGCAATATGGGTGGAGTAGTCTACTAGCATAATGTTGGAGTAAGAAAAATACAGTTCAAGTTAAAAAGATCAGAGCAGGAAAAGAGTTGGTATGATAATATAAAAACATTGTTTAGGTCATATTTTGGTGACAGTGAGTTTTTTGGATTTAAGCATGTTGTAACTAGAGTTCCAAAATCATTGCTGCTGCGAATAGAGCTGTTTACTTCAATAATTCATTTTCTCTGTATCTGACACTCTGAGAACTGAAGTTATTGAAAAATGTTCCCGCAAATTGGAGGTTTTGTATTGTTCAATATGATTAAGTCTGTGTTGCTTAGTAAGCATTGCATCATAAATATCAAGAGCAATCTCTGTATTTCCTTGACTCTGTAGACGAACACATTTTAACTGTTGACTTTCATGATACTCTTACCTTTATTTTATTTTTGTTTAATATTCTCAATTTCAGATGACATGTCTTTTGATGTATCCTGGTTTGCCATGCGTTCCATTGCAATGGATAGAGATCCTGTCTTTCTAGCTTCGTTGGATAGAAAAGGAATAGTGATCCAGGCCAGAAGAAATGGAAGTAGTGATGTCAGCTTGGAGAGAATTGCTCCCCTGGAGTTTCGGCTTAGACTTCATGGCTGTGAGGACCAAGACTTTGGCAACCACTACTGTTTGGTGACACCTTGGGTGCAGTCAGCTGCAGGTGTCTGGCAACAAGAGATGGAGATCAAATCCAAACCAATTCTTGTAACTGTGAAAATGGATGGTAAGAATGCCTCCACAGTCTTTCTCATGGTATCTTCAATTGTCATTGAGAGCTAATTTACACATTTCATTTTAGTGTACTAATTTCTGCTGATTTATCTGATAGTCTTCCCCATCTTGTATTACCAAAATCAGGTTCCACAGGAAAGTAGCTGCATTTACTAGAATGCATGTGCACTATGATATATAGCATGCATTCTTATAATGTAACTTATAAGAAACATGCTTGTTGAATTTCTCTAGATTGGCAAGAAATAACATTCAACTAGCCTGTTTCATCATATGGAGTGGTGTACTTTTCATTCTCCAGAGACTTCGTTGTTCCAGGCTACTTTCACAGATGACAGTTTGAGTCTTGGTCTTTTGGGCAATTCAGTAGTTTCTTTATTTGTCTTTTCAAAAGAGATTGAAATGGGAATTTGATGGCAATCCAAACAACTCTTCACTCAGAAGCTTTCTTACATGCTTCCTATCTTAAAATTCAGGCAAATGCTTCACTCTAATGATTGATAGCAATACCTGGCAGATTCAAAATTTCAGGTCTTTCTTAACTGAGGAACTGCATTAATACTTTTGTGAACTCTTGCTTTCTTTCTGTCTCAGTCTTTCCTAGTCAATTTCAAATAACAAGAAATTAAGGAATGAAAAGGCAATGTTTTAAACAGATACTAAGGGGAATATTCCCCCTTCATTCGTGCATCAAAGAAGGGTTTTCTCTGCCTCTGGTGACTACATGTAACAGTGTTCTTTTTCTTTTCTCCCTCACCCAGTGCTGAATGCTTTCAAATTCCCACTGTTGATTGGTGTTGGCCTGTCTACAGTAATTGGACTCCTATCCTGTCTGATTGGCTACTGCACTTCCCGTTGGTGTTGCAAGAAGGAAGTTCAAGAAACCAGGCGAGAGAGACGCCGACTGATGTCTATGGAGATGGACTAAACAAATGGGAGGTGGATACACATTTTTCAGGAGGGAAGGGACTTTGGAAGGCCTGAGGCTACTCAGATTTGAGTGTGTTGAACCAAAATGCCCTGACAACAAAACCCTTTGATCTTGTCCTGGATCTAGAGCTGCATCTTTTTCTACCTATGTTTCACACTGAGGACACATGTTGTATTTTTTAACCTTTAGCTCTTCTTCCAATGGCACATATTATGGGGATAGTTCTTTCACAGGCAAAGTGTTCCACAGTGTCCTTCCAGCAGACCTTTAGACAAGGCTCACTTTCAAGGCATACTTATTAAATATTTTCCCCTTGTTATTTAATAGAAAGATAGAATTGGAAGAGTGTTGGAAAAAAAAAACACCATCCCTTATAACTAGTTGGCCTCTTGTTGATATTTCTAGAGAAGAAAGGAAACATTCCCATAGTCTATTCTAGATGTATCTAGTTGGAAATCTGATGAGTAACTGAAACTTGGATTGTAGTCTCAGGAGCCCTAACTTTAAAAAGTGTGCTGGTTTAGCATTCTTGAAAACCAATTTCTTAGAAAGTGGACAGCAATACAAGCCATCGTTTACAGTGTCCCACCCTTTTCATTGTGTATCATCATCATCACCACCATCATTATCATTATTCTGGTAAGAGGTGGGTCTCTCTAGTATGGCTGTTATCAACAGTCTTATAAAAATACTGCTAGATTTACCAGTTCTGCCCACTGTGCTGTTGGATTTTGTTTAATCCGCATGTCATCTCTAGCAACTGGACAGAATCTGCTAGATATTCTTGTACAAATCACTGGGTCATTTAGCTCAGTGACTAGAATATCGGTGGAAATCCTCCTCATCCCTAAAGTGATTTATTTGTAGCTGCCATTACATTGTGAGCCATGAGATACTTTGTTACCGTGACCTGCATTAACCAGCAAACAAGCTTGCTATTAGGGAACTTATATTGGGGTTCTGGGCTAACAGTTGGAGTTTGACATAGAGTTGGAAGAGACCTTGTGGGCCATTGAGTCCAACCCCCTGCCAAGAAGCAGGAACATCGCACTCAAAGCACCCCTGACAGATGTCCATCCAGCCTCTGTTTAAAAGCCTCCAAAGAAGGAGCCTCCACCACACTCTGGGGCAGAGTTCCACTGCTGAACAGCTCTCACAGTTAGGAAGTTATTCCTAATGTTCAGGTGGAATCTCATTTCCTGTAGTTTGAAGTCATTGTTCCTCGACCCCATAGCAGTCATGAGTCAGTTTATGCAACTGTAACTCTCAAGGTGAGGAGGGATAAAAAGGGATGGATTCCTTTAGAAAAGAATACCCTTTTCCTGGATGTTTCTTTGCAAATGCTACAATGCCAAAGGCTACATTCTGTGGGGTGGTGATCAATTGTCATCATGGGTCTCTTTGGTTCTGTAGTAGAGAGTTCTAGATCCTGTCTTCCACATACCCTTGTCCTGGATCCAAAGAGCTGACCCTGTGATGTCTGGCAGCTCCAGCACAGTTGGTATTTCTAAGCAATAAGAAGTCAGAACACAGGCTTTTTATGGAAAACATTATGCATTAAACATGCATGACTTGAAGCAAACTAAGAGTGGAAATTGAAGTAAAGAGCAAGTAACCTTTCTTCTGTACTATGCTTAATGTTGAAGAGTAAATGTCAGTTGAGCTTCCAGGTATATTTGTTGATGTCAGTTGAAGAGATAACTTTGCAAATATACATAGAGGCATGTAGAATGTTACTCATATCAACTCAGCAAGTATATGAAAATTATTCTTTATGCTGTCCATTTTGCATATTCACTGGAAGATGTGCAGAATGTGCACAAATTGGTAAATGGTTTTCCATTGAGCTTACATTGACTCCAGTGTATATTTATGAGTTTTTTAAAAATATATCCTGGCATTAAGTACATGGACTAGAGTTTTAGGCTAATTCTAATAGTTTATATAACTTTTGGGAAGCTTCAGACAGTTACCACACTAAAGAAATTTCTTTAGTTATACATTTTCTATCAAATTTCATTTATTGTGGTCTTTGTGTACTCTGGTGCTACCCTGTGCTCTTATTATCAAATGGACATAAGACTGTGACTATAGCTAGGTTTGGAAGCTTTAATTTGGTGGATATTTGAGGGCTCCTAGATGAACTTTGATTTTGACAGCTGTAGGAATACCCTTAAAAACTACAGACTTGTAAAGTAGGGGTTGACAGTAATGTCCCTAAAGATGTCTTAAGATTACAACATCAGCCATGTCTAATGAGCAATACTGAGTGATTGAACGGAAATTGTAGTCCCCAAATATCTGGAAGGACACAGTTGCCCACCTCAGTTGTAAAGTGTGTAGAATTAAATGTGGTTGAAATCTTCCAGAAGACTTAGTAAACACGAGCATTTTGTGTGGTTGACCACAACATTATGTCCTCTGGGGAGATGTCTTGCACTTGTCCTTTAGATCATTCTCATAGTTGGCTTCCTTCACTTCCTCTGACATACAACCCATCTAGACATGTGTATTATCATTTCACATTATAAAGTATGTATGTTTTCAGTTGTTTTTCCACATTGGAAGCCCTGTTTTTTAAAAAACAAAATATAGGGAAAATAAATAACTAACTAAAGCACAATTTTTTTCTTTCATTCATACTTACATTTAGTGTCATTGTCTTTTCACATTTGGAAGACTAAGCAAAACAGAAATATTTAAATGCAATAATTATGAAATGTGGAGAGCAGGAAAGTTTAGTTTTCCTTTAGCACTTGTTGCACACTAGCATTGTCTCTCTGTGGAAAGAAACTCAGGGTCATTTTGGCTCAGGGATTCCTTGCTTTTGCTAGCAGGTTTCCTGTTCCTCAAGTCATTGCCCACTCTTCCTAGATGCAGAAGTCATTTTCTTTTAAACCGAATTTGGACCATATGTTACAACTGCTCTCTTTGGATTATGGTGATGCTTCATGCCCTGTACTTAATTAAATGTTGAAGTAGTACCACTCCAGTGCTCTCCTTCCAATTGTGCCAATTTTATATTATTCCTCTTTTTAAATAGGATTTCTGTCTCCAGAAAACATTGGTTACTCTGTTTTGTGTTAACTCTCTCTGGTGTTTTTGTTAGAGAACGGGTTGCATGGAATTCAGTTAGATGTTCAGCAGTGTTTGTCAGAGTTGCAGTCATGGAATCAACAGTCAAGTATTCTAAGGGCTTGTGTCAATCCTGATTGGTCTCTCTCCGTGCTTCCAGCTCACTGTTGAGAATTCAGGACACTTGGAACATGAATCTGGCATTGTTTCAACAGTGTGCTGTGTAAAAGACAGGAAATCTATTTGTTTGCTTTTGAAAAAAGGTTTTAGGCACAGCTCTGGAAGCTTTTAAAATTGTGTTAAGCACAGCTTTGGAAGGTAGGAGTTGGACAGTTACAATGAAGCTGTGTAATGTGTTTTTTACATTGAAAATAAATTGTCTTTTTTAATAAAATCATATTGTGTGGTCACTATGTTGAACTGTAGATATTTCATTCAATGTTATATTCAGTGTACCTGATGATTTTAAAGCCTCTGTTTTGTATGGGGTGAGTGGGGATGCTGCTGCTGATATCTGTAGTGACTTTGCAAAGTCACACCTATACATTCTATAGTTCTGATTTCGGCTCTTGGCTGATGTTACAGAATAGGCCCGTCACCTTTGCAGGGATTAGGGGTGCAGGACTCCTGCAAAAGTAGAAACACTGCCAATAGAAACCTCCTTTTTTTAAAACCTGAAATTTCTCAAGAGGTAGTTGGTGTTCTGAGGGGAAATATGTCATGGATCCATGTCTGGTATATTCGAGACACCAGAACACCTCCATGCCATGAGTTCCAAGGTCAAGCAGGGAAAACACCAGGAGGCCTGTTAAGGGAAGGAGCCTGATAACACGAATTGGCTCGGCCTGGAGGCTGTACAGAGAAACTTTCAGGAGTTTTGGGAGAGAAACCGAGGCATTGCCCACATTTTCTTTTATTCATAACTTTGCTGTATAGTAGTAACCAAGCATTAAAAAGTTTCCAAGATGTTCTTGTTAGTTGAATCGTTTAACCGAGGTTCTGCCAAAGCATAAAGTTACGAATTCTTGCCTGCTTTTTCTGACCTCAGTTGGTGAGAGTCAACTACTTGGCAGAAATGTCAGAGAAGGGAGACAGTGAAGGTGAGTGTGAGCCACTTATCCTTTGAGAGACAGTTGGTCAGATGGAGATTGAAGAACAGAGAGAATCCCCAGAGCAGCAACCACATAATGGGGAGGAAGTAACAGAATTAATAAAATGGGATTATACACAAGAGCAGCCTGGGAGTCAGTTGTAGAAGGCAAATGGACTGACCCACATAGCCAATCCCAGAGAGCCAAGAATGCAGCAACATGTTGAGGAAGACAAGGCTTCCTTTGATCCCTGAAGTGATAATGAGAAAGAAAAAAAGAGAGAGGAGTTTCTGTAGAGACCCAAAGAAATCCCTGAATGACTCTGTACCTTCTCATTGATGGACAACAGCATTTTGAACTGAAAGAGAGCATAATGTTAGCCTACAATACTTTATGTGTTGGAAGCATTTTCCTGATCTGGAGTGTGTGCACTGGGAGGATGTCAAAACACCAAAACACTGAAGAATGCATAATGCCAATCTTCCTCACCATGATAACTGTTTGATATATCTTGACGTTCCTGCTTCCATATCGTCACATATCGTGCCTTTATGTTTTACTTCTCTCCCTCCACCTTTTTAAGGAGAGAAACCGGAAATTTCCTCAGAAGTTGGTACTATGTCATGGATCCATGTCTGGTGTGTTTGAGACACCAAAACACCTCCATGCCATAAGTTCCAAGGTAAAGTAATGAAAACATCAGGAGGCCCATTAAAGGAGGGAGCCTAATAATATGACTGGAAGGCCTGGAGACCTGACAGAGGAAATTTTGGAAATTGGGGAGGGGGAAGGTTGAAACAGATGTTGCCCTCATTTTCTTTTATTCGTAACTTTACTGTATAGTAAATAACCTAGCATTAAAGAAGTTTCCAAGATTTCCTTGTGAGTTTAATTGCTACCACAGTTCTGCCATCACATGTTAGTAGTAGTCGTCGTATTTATATGCCACGTCTCCTTTACCAAAGGAGACTCAAAGCAGCTAACACTAAAAAAACCATACAATATATAAAATACAACACATACAAACATTAAAATAGAATTAAACATAGGATTTATTAAGAGTATATACAGGCAGTCCTCGAGTTACAAACATCTGACTTAAAAACGACTCATAGTTAAGAATGGCAGTGAGACAACAGGAAGTGAGAGAAATCTACACCTAGGATGAGAAATTCACTCCTGAAAGAGTAAATATGGGGAAAAGGGGTCTCCACTAAAGCTTTAGCATCAATCCTGTTTCCACAACATGCCAAAGTTTTCAAAATCCAATGATCATGGGCACAGAAAGTGAGGCGAAATCTCTAACTGTTTTTCTTAAACTTCTTTCATGGCCGGAATCACTGGGTCGTTGTAGGTTTTTCGGGTTATATGGCCATGTTCTAGAAGCATTCTCTCCTGATGTCTTGCCTGCATCTGTGGCAAGCATCATCAGAGGTTGTAAGGTCACAATCTCTGAGGATGCTTGCCACAGATGCAGGCAAAACGTCAGGAGAAAATGCTTCTAGAACATGGCCATACAACCCGAAAAACCTACAACAACCCAACAAAATAGTACTTCAAAATTGAGCTGTAACTTCTACCATTCTTCACTCACTGACAGTGCTGATTAGGGAATTGGTGGGAGTTGCCTTCCAATAATATCGAAAAATGCCTCATAGACTTGGAATCCCCTTCCCTTCACTTGCAGCTGCTAGCTTGCTGTGTCATTGGGCAGGTGTCTTCAAATGCACAAGATAATTATATGCTAGATAGAATATATTCAGCCACACTTTCTGCTTAGAACTGTGGATTATGAGCTATTTTTGCAGCCTTTCATTTTAGTATCATATTTTGTTCCACAATCACACAATGTATATAATTTACCCAAGGTAAAGAATTGCTCTGAAATTTTGTTAATATATATCTGCTTTGCCTTTTTACAAACTCACAATCTCTTTATTCCAAATCTGAATTCATTACATTCACATTTTGGGGGCAATCATTTCTGAGAGGTGTCTGTCACAACAGGATTTAACAGGATTTTACTTTTATGTCTAAACTGTCTAATCTTGGCATGTAGGATAAGCTGATAACAGGTGCCATGTGCCTTTTTTGCAGTAAACTCAGTTACCATACATAATTTTAAGTGGGAATGCATTCCTGTAACTCTGGTCACAACATGTTCTCTTTCTTAACCATCACATATCTGCAAAGTGGGACAACTGAAGATATGCCCAACGGTCCTATTAGTTGAAGTTGCATATCCAGATCTCTCAAGAGCCTTGGAGACTGCTCATTTATTTTGGCTCATATCCTTTTTTTTTCCTTTTCCGTTTTCCTTTTTCTGATAGAATGAATTAAGTAAAGGGCTTGATGAAGAGGAGGCAGTACTCCTGAATTAATTGTTGTGTAGAAAAGGGAACCTAAACCAATACATCTTTCTCTTATCTCTACATGACAAACTGCATCTAGCAAAATTAGGTTTCTAGAATAGACTATTTTAATTGACCCCACTGAAGAGAGCGTTTGTCATGTACACTTCACAAGGATGTGTTCTGTCCCTAACAATATGACTATTGAAACTTCATGCCCTCCCCCCAAATTGCCTCACCACAGAAACATGGTCAGTGTACTGCCTACAAGATGTATTAGATCAAAACTTTCCAAACATTTCATGTTGGTGGCACACTTTCTAGACATGCATCTTATAAGAGATATGGACTTATACATAAATTGTAATGAAGAAGTGTATGGGAAACAACATATATCATTTAAACCTTTCATTTATATATTTTAAAATATATGATTTGCATGGTAATAATACACTTTCTCAAGTTTTTTTTTGTCATTTATGAGTAATAATATGTAAATATGTGCAAGAATTATTATTTTATAAAAAATATAATTATTTTTATAACAATAATAATATAACTAATGTGTTTCATGACATTAGCGTGTTGGCTGCAATATGTAGATGCATCGCATGAACATAACATAAATGTTTGAATCTATCTGAAATAAGCAATAACACTGAAATGTAGCTTTTGAATATTTAGTGGAATATTAGATAAAACACTAATATTTTGTCTTCAAGCATTTTTAAGCTATATTTCAGTGTTATTGCTTATTTCAGATAGATTCAAATGTTTCTGTTATGTTCATGCGATGCATCTATATATTGCAGCCAACATGCTAATGTCATGAAACACAGTTTGGACAACTCTGCATTAGACCAACAATGTGTTGAGAGATCCCCATGGAACATATGAAATCTTGAGCCAATCACATCAAGTCTCTCCAAAACAACAGTTCCTGGCTTTCACAACACAACCTCTGAGATCAACTTGGTCAAGCTAATTATAAGAAGATACAACTGTACTAAAAATTTGCACCATATTGTTTGTTGTCGCTGTGAGGTTAACAGTGCAGCATGTTTATATACTGTTGTTGAATTATATTATTGTTTATGTTATACAAGTGGTATTTTTGTTGTATGCATCAACTTGGTCAACCCAGGCAGATGGATGTCTGGGTAGTAGGTGACCAATATACTAGCAGCTTCCATAATCCATCTTTTAGGCTTAGCACAAGGTACAAATCCTCAAAAATGTGGATGGATAGGTTTTCTCATGAAGGAGATGGAATCTTTATGGGTGATGGCAACTTCTCACTCCAATACTCCAATACTCCAATTTAGGAGGCACTCAGTGGCACTCAGGTGAACAAATGTTTTAGTCCAGCTCATCCTTCCAAGTCTCATGAATGTATACCAGATTAGCTCCATCATCAACATTTAAGTCATGGATTGTAGACTGAAGGGTGAGCTAACAGAATAACTTGGATCTTATGGGAGGAATGCCCCCAAATAGCAAATGGCAATTCCTAGAGTGGCCATATGAACTTTAATCCCCCAATTCCCATCTACCTTTCTCTGCCCACTATCACACAAGAAAGATCATCATTCCTCCCCACCCCCACCTGAGTCTCGGAGACATACCTCTGAGACTCTGAGAAATAAGCTTTTCACGTTCACACAACCCGATTTTCCTCTTTGTCCTCTGTTTAGCTGGAAGGCTTTTTCCAGAAGCTGATGAAGGGCTGGAGAATAAGAGTTTTAGGTATCAGGCTGCAGAAGCATAGATGCAGTAAACACTGCAATAAGCAAAGTCTGAACCAGGAAAGAATGGGATTCTATAGTAACCCATCCTACTGCAGCTATGTGTACCTGCCTATAATAGACAAGATTAACAGAACCTGTTTCCTGAATTCCTTAGAAAAATTAGAAAAGAGAAAAAAGAGAAAACAGGTAAGGCTTCCCTTACCT